GAAATATACAAATCTTATATAGAGAACCATCCAAGGAACAAGTGTATGAAACATAAAATAGAGTTAGCTGGCCTGGGCATGCGTGTATAGAAACCTAGTGTTGCCCAGTCAACAAGGTTCCCCTCTCTTCCGCACTGACAAAGTCCAAGTGAATGCAGAGCAAAACGTTTGGAGCCGGGCTTGGCTGCAGTAGTTGCCAGAAGGGCGACTAGTAGTCAATCCAATTCTGTTCGTCAGTTTTTTTCCAGTTGAAAAAATATGAGCTCGCTTGAGACTTCATCCCTTGTCTATTTCTTACACTATATACCAGCCGATAACCCCCCCCCCCCCCATAGAGACTGCATACAGTTGATCATAGTTCCTGGGCTCCCTGTGGTATCACACAAAAATATTTACAGCATTTCAGTGTCAATGCACTTGACACAATTTTCTTAACTTATAACTGTCGCCGTCGTATTGTTCCCAACACCAAAATATCAACATTGCCAGGAAAATTTGCTGACTGGTTTGCTAAGCGCGGTTAGTTCAAACCACTATTAGGAGGATAAGCCGTTCGCTAAATGCGCCGATACCAAAACAGTTACACTGCCAGCTAAGTTGCTGACTGGTTTGATAAATTTGTATATAATAAATGGTAAAGTTATCCAAACAAAATGTATGTACTGACACAGTATGAAATGTCAGGACACAGTCGCTGGTGTGTTGGTACTTGTTATAACTCTCATGAGTTCGGGACAATATGGCGGTGTCAGTAAACAGTTGCAGTTTGTTATGCTGCCCTCAATGCAGGACACAAGCAAGCAGCTCACCGGCACCAAAAGTCATTGCAGTAGTGCAGCATTAAGGGACTTGAATGAGTCGAGGAAATTTTTCCTCTAATATCAATGAATTTATATTCTTTATTTAGATTTTTCATGACACATTTTAACTGATGTGCACGAGAACCTGGAAAATGTACACTTTTATAAAGTGAACCAATCTGATACAGGGTGACACAAGGCACCTACAGATCAATTATCAAAGCATTAGAGAGATTTTAAATTATGTTATAAAATAAGTATACATTAATCCAGGTAGACAGGGTGTAGTCATAGCACTGATAAATGCTCTGCAGTTTACATTAGGTTCATAAAATAACTTCTAATGTATGGAATATTTAGAATTCTTTAAAATGCTAGCCTAGCACAAATTGTCTTTTTGATGAACTCTCATGTGTTTTCCAAGATTTTCTCTCAACTTACACCTGTAGCCACACACATGACATTGCCATGGTTTCTCATCAGAATGAACCATCATGTGGCTTTTCAAAGTTTGCTTTAAAGTGAAGAGTTTATGGCAAATTTGGCATTCCTCTTTCTTGTCAGAGTGAATAGCAAGATGTGTTTTAAGTTGACTATTAGTTCTAAACTGTTTTCCGCAGATCTCACACTGTACTGGTGTTGATACCTTGTGCCAGCGATCTACATGTGCTCTCAATCTGGCTCGGTGTTTGAATAATTTACCACAGTGCTTACAGATACAAGTTCATCAAACTGGGAATGTACG